TATGCGTGTTTTCGTACTTTAATTTCATAAAATCGAGTGATATAAAAAGCAAAGTAAAGCCAAAACCACACCAACAGCTTATGAGATTTGTTTCAGAAGTTTCTGATACAGATACAGACATGAATTAAATATCTGTGACCCACTCACTTCTGTTCCACGATAAAAATATAATTTTTGACCCATTCAGTGGAAAAGGTTGGTCATCCCTGTCCTAGTATAACGCAGCAGTCCTAAATTGCTGTTATTATTGTTAGGGGTACATGTCGCACAACTGTGTCTTAGGCCAGTAAGGTCTTAAACATGTATCCCGTTTCTGTTTTACTGTTTAATTATTATGCAGATACTGTTACATTTTTGAGGCAAATAAACATACATATATACATACGTTTCAAGTAAAAATGTCATTATATTTTTCCATCGCTAGAAGTCGCTATTTAGTCAAAAAGTAATCGTATCCATCTTCTGGTCAGCGGGTAGCAGATGGAATGTATTATTGTTTGCGGCAATCTGCGAATATCTCTGCAAACGTTGCGGCATTCGTAAAATCTCTGATAACGCCACGCATCCAGAATATGTCATCGTTGATATGGTGAGTTCTTTGATTGTCAGAATGCAAGCCTCTTAACACTTAATAGTTTGATACTGCTACTGCCCTCAATTTTATTCTTGGCATCAATTTAGAGTCTTATATAACATAGCATAATACTATTTTGAAATAACTTCAAAATTCTGATATAAAATAAAAAAAATGTCTTCCAAAATGTCTAATCCCATACCCGACATAGACTGGTACCGGTATCCAGATGAGAAGTTATGGTTCGCCATATGATTAAGCTGTCATGACTTTGCTCTCCCCTGGGATAAATGTGTAAATCCTAGCTGTACTGTTTATGTTATTGGACTGAGCGAAAGTAGCCTACCATAAACAGATGCAGGAAACAGATGGATCCTCACCGACTTATACCGGTAACAGGGAATCGGATTTGCCAAATGTTGTTGAAAAAGGCCAGTAAAAACAATAATCTGATAATTGAGACTTTCACAAATGTGATTTAATTTATGTAAATTAATGTTCTGTTTTTTTTGTTTATTACGTTGATCTCAATCGGTAAATATGTTGATAGGTATTTGTCTGTTAGACACTTTCGTATACGCGATATCTCCTGAAAGCGAGGATGAATCTGCTACAAATTTTGCATGTACATTCATTATATCTCGGACCAGAAGCCTATTGATTTTGGATGAATTATGTTGTATAATTAGCTAGTAATATTTAATTAGTGATGGGACACACGGTGTCGCTATTGAGTCAGAGCGAAGGAATCGAAACCGCAATTTCTGTTTTGGAGGATCCCTAAGGTCGATGAGTCTTTCTCACACTAATAGAACTTTTTTTTTCGAAGTGCTGATGATGTTGAATATATTCTGTTCTAATGAACACATTTCGTTACCATGAAAACAATTACTGCTCTTCCATGCTCAACAAGAATTATTCATTCATTCCTTGTAAATATTTATCAATCATTCATGGTTTTGCTTCTCACTACACCCAGCTTAAGTGATTCTTTTCCACAGCTTTTTCACTTTTTTGAAAGATTTTTTTCCTGCTGTGTGATTAACATTTGCTTTAATGCTTTCATCAACTTTGATTTCATGACCACCATCGTCGGTAATATATCGTTGGTTGTATATGTTATTAAGATATCACCAGGCGAGAACTTGTGCGACTTTGTATATTGTGCATTTCGAATTTCCTCCACAATGCATCTGGAACAAATGACTGGCTAACTAACCCCATACTCGACATAAACTGGTAACCGGTTGAAAAGCCGTGGTTCACCACATGTTTAAGCTTTTTTATCGGCTTTCCTCTTCCCTAGGATAAATATGTAAATCATATTTTATAACTGGCCAAGTTAAGGAATCTTATTTTTGCAAGATATACTCCAATGATTTCGGATGATGTAAGAGTGTAAATTTTACTATATATAGTACTAAAAGTACATTGACTGGTGAAATCAATCGACAGTCGACTGTCATATAAGGCTGAGCCCTGACATATAACAGGATTTCCCAAACTGGGGTTCGTGGTGACTGCAGAGCGCGGGAACAACAATATGAAAAGACTTTGAAACATATACACATAAAACATAATCAAATTGCCGTTAGCCTGCCGTATTTAACATTAGTATGTATTGGTTCAGACTTTCGTGACATGAGTTTTATTTCGCCAATAGCAACATTATTCTTTCTCATTGGTTAGGCACAGAAATGGATACGACATAGGATGGGGGTCCGTAAAAAACAGCTTCCACAAACAGGGGTCCGCAGCCTAAAAAGTTTGGAAAACCTTGTATTATAGCATTTCCTCAAATTTAAACACCTATTTAACTGACTCATCCTATCCATCTTACAAAAATCTGTCACAGAACTTTACTTAAACATTGTCTTTATATGTACATTGCTTCCGTATTAATGCTGTAATATAGTGACTTGTGCATGTTTCACTCACACACTGACATACCCGTATGTCTTCTAATTGTGCTATGGACTGCAAGTTTTTCCCATCAAATAAATTCAAATTAAAACACTACTTTATGCAAAGAAATTCATTGATACAAAGAGTGAAAAAGACAGTAAAAACTTTTGAGATATGAAAAATGGGCAAAAGAGTGAACGTTATAGTTTTCGCTTTTTGCCAGTTATGCATGTTTTGCCACAAATAAGTCTTGTCGCAACCATAGACGTCTTAAACAAATCGAATATTTGAATTTCAAATTGGTGGTATAGTGAATTCTCCACTTTAGAAATAATTTATGACAACGCCATTTGAAGAATTGACATTCCAACGTATGAAAATCAGACAAAAATAAACTTATAAAAATTGAAAATCGGTAACTATTCTGGATTATCAAAGTTAAATTCTAGGAATTTATGAAATATTTCTTCAAATTTATATGTGTTTTTGAAATATGGCCCAATTTAGAAACATTACGTAGCCTATTCAGAATATTATTTCAAAATATATTTAGAATAGTGAATTTTTTGATTAGGACACCCCTTGTATAACATTACTAAAACATTACAGTATTTGTAAAAAGTGTGATGCAAGGTTTTGGAATGCACAATATAGTCATTTATTACCTATATAGGCTACAATCCCGTTTTTTTTTAACAAAATCCCACACGGTAAAAAAGCTCCCCATCAAAAATATTTCTTTAAAGTAACAATTTAAAATCATACACAGAATCAAAGTTTACAGACAATAAAACAAATTTTTAAAATTACATAGGCTCATTCAGTAAATGGGGGTAATATTCGCAAAACAAGAAAAACTAAACAAAAAATAGATTACTGGGGGAACACTATGATTCTATGAAAATACATACAAGCCTGAAGCTTCAAAATCTTTTCGAATATGAGATATTGAATAAATTCTGTTTCACAAGGGAAATTATTTGAGACAATTGTAGATTTGGTTATGCAGAATAATTGGCATAAACATTGTTTTATTTAGTATTCTCTATTTTATTCTGTCAGGAGTTAACAAGGCAAGTTTATTTTATCCAACCAGTAAAAAAAAATCACATACAATATTTAAAAAAGAGGCAATTTTACTTTGGAAGTGAAGCCGCAGGGAACCAAATCTGGTTATCAAGCATTGACACCCAAGGTTCTAATATCTAGTTAAAAAGATTGAGTAATTTAATTATAGAAATACTGTTATTGGCGGTGAGTAACGTATGGTTTTGCCGATTAACTAATTTTTTGTCTATGATAGAAAATAAATATTCAATAAAAATATTTCAAATCAAAATATTCTACATTCCTGAAATCAACAATTTACTGAATCGAATATAACCAATTTTGGTACTCCTGAAGTATGTGAACCAAAATGGCAGACACCAGAATGTAGTATGTGTACCAGGTCAGGGTTAGGCCATAATTTCCGGTACAAATACTACAGTCACTTGGAAAATAAGGAAAATTGGACTGAATTTATGGCCTAACCTGCTATACATACTACGTTCCAGTGTCCAAAATCTTGGATCACATACTACGGGAGTACCTCAATCTCAAATGCATTGAAATATTCTATTTGTTTTGGACATCCCTGATCATTGCAATTGGCGCGTACTGGCCAGGGCTGGGTCGCGGTTTAAAATCACAGTGGCTTCACAGCCACACTATGTTCAAACCGTTTGATCGGGGTAGGCAAAACCATGGGCCAAAAATTTTGTCCATGTAGACTGGTGGGTCATGTAAGTGTGAAGTGAAAAGGTACATTTTATGAACAATATTTACAGTGTTACAAAAGTGGAAAACAATAAACCTCGAGCTAAAACCAAATTTAACCGCAATATTAACAAATTCATTGAGCTATTTTTTAGCTGAAACATTGGAATTTGGTTTTACCTTGGTTGTGGCAGTATCAGGTGGGCCAGATTCTTGGCCCAGGGGCGGTAATTTGTCAATGTCAGCGTTAGATGGTCAAGAGCTGAAGCCACTACAATTTTTGATAGCTCCAGCTCCATCTGATACAGACCCAAAACGAGAGATTCATTCATATAAAATATTGGCAAGAAAAAAGGGTGCGCCCGAAGTATGTGAACCAAAAGGGCGGATACCGGAATGTAGTATGTATATCAGGTTAGGGTTAGGCCATAATTTCAGGTACAAATACTACGGCAGTCACTTGGGTAGTCCCCAAACTCGTAATAGAACTAGAATAAGGGAAATTGGAATAAAATTATGGCCTAGCCCTAACCTGATACACATACTACGTTACGGTGTCCACCATCTTGGTTTGCATGCTACACGAGTACCGTAAAAAACTACATTGCTATTTTTATTTGTTCTTACTTTCATAAAGTATTTTAAACTTTATTACAGAGAGTTGTCTGCAACTACGAATGTCATGGTATTGAATCGTCAACAGGGTGGTGAATGCACATTCTCCACAGCTTTCGAAAAATCGTGAAACAATGACAAATCTGAATCATGGCATGTCTTCCATGAGGCAAGAAATAGTTGAAGAATCCGTACAAGATGAAATGGCAGCGACGGGAATGGTTAAAAAGGTGAGTCCATCTTGATATTCACTTTGCACTGAACCTTCATATTCTCTGGGTCCAGCTTGGAGTTTTCGACTAGAAAAATTGTACATGTTAGTTAAAGTGTAATATATTTAGGTTAGAATTTTTGGTATGGTGCTCCCGTAGTGTGTGTACCAGGTTAGATTAGGCCATAGTTTTATTCAGATTTTTCTTTTATGCTTCTATTGTGAGTTCGAGGACTGTTTGTGTTAGCAAAGTAAATATACAACTCTGCCCATAAGTTTCAGTTTCCTTACACAACTTGATGTAAAGTAGGAGAACAAAATTAGTTCCCTCCGTTTTGCTGCTCGCACTTCAGGAGCGTTGATTAATGTGTATTATATTTAGGATAAAATTTTTAATGTTTATCTCTAGGAGAAAAAAAGCTGATAAGACATTGTAAACATGTGAAATTGTATTTGACACAAATATACATGCGATTTTCTAAATGTAGTTGTCTTTTTGTTGAGGTGACTGTTTTGATGGGCTAAATAAACACTTTTTCTACACTTAATGGCTCAATCAATTTTAAATTTTCTGTAACTAAAATATTATTCGCGCCTTTCGATCTGAACACGACTTTCTATGAGGAGCTACGGATATCTAATGATAGGATAGGATTTACATATTTATCCCGGGGGGAGAGGAAAGTCGATAAGACGGTTTATCCATATGGCGAACCACGGCCTCTCGTCCGGTTACCATTCCAAGTCGGGTATGGGATTAGTTATATTGTTTGTTTTCGGAAGCCTGGACTTGGTGGTGGAGGAAGCCGTACCCGACCAGCGGTTACGTGAACCACCCAACGACGGCGAGGAGTCCAGCAATCCTCTCGCACATAACCATCCCTGCATGGGATTCGAACCTGCGAACCCATGCAGAGTAATTAGAGGTGCGGTGGCGAGCGTATTTCTAACGCTTAGCCCGTTGAGCCACATCGCCGCGCCGATGCGCAATGATCTGGTAATTTTGACTGATAGACTGTAATGTTTTCAGTTCGAATTATTATTACCTAAATTATTGCACCCTGGATGCAGTTGTGGGCGTAGGTGCCTGTGGCCTTGTTTTGAAACTGGAAGTGTAGGTTATCAGGATTTGGCCATCTTAGTTCTATTTATAATAAGATTGTCATATTTATTATACATTGAGGAGGAAAGTAGATAAGATGACGCTCCAGAAGTGTGTGTACCAATATGGAGGTGACTAATTTTGTTCGCCAGTTTCACATCAGGTTGTGTAAAGGGACTGAAGCATATGGGCAGGGGGGATTTTCACTTGGCTAACACAGACAGTTCCGAACTCGTAATGGGAATAAAATAAGGAAAATCGAAATAAAATTATGGCCCGATCTGATTACCAGTCCATGTTAAGTATGTCAATTTAAATATGTTGCCGAGTTACAGATCTCAGAGCCAATCCCAATGTTCGTCCCCTCATCCAGGGTGCAATAAACTGGTTAGGCAATGCCGAACCGAAAATATTCTTTGTTCTTTTAGTATTAAATTTTCAATTATCAGTCACTATTCCTCCAGGGCATGGTTTGGGGTGAAAAAGGAAAATAATACCTTTTAGCAAGTCATTATTGTAATCCCCATCTTGAAAAAGAAGCAGGTTTGAAAAAAAGAGGAAAATATGTACTTTTGATATTTAAACTCCTATAACTGATTATTGCTTCAAAAATGCGGGTGTGGCTTGCACATAACACCAGCTGAAGATCCATCAAAGATTATATAAATAAAGTACTTTCATGCATAATGAATAAAAAGTGTTCCAAAATGGAAAGGAGAGGAATTAAATGAAAAAGGTTTGTTTGAAACCACTGGCTTACCTTATGAATTTAGCTTTTTCCTTTTCATAACAGTACATGTCGCTAATATTGAGTGAAATCAGGTCTTGTGGGCATTCGCAACAAGTTAGATTCTGGTTAATATAGTAATTTTCTGGACATCCTTGCTGCTGATGCTCTTCATAGCATTGACTCTGAATTAGAAAAATTAGAGTTGAAACCTGGTGCGGTGTCGTTTTGTTTTTAATTTACAATTATTAGAAGCGACTCCTGATCAAAGGAAGGCATAAATATATTGAAAAAGGTTCAGGAACCACTGTTTTAGACCATGTACCTTGTAAGTAGCGAGTTGGTGTCCCCTAACTAATATTATTTTTTAGTAATTTTCTGGCATAGTGTCGCATTGTTAGGGATACAATTACCATTGAATGTCTGACCACCCTGTGTGTGTTCGAATACCATAGGGCAGTGGTTCCCAGACTGAAGGGGTAATTTGTCAATTTTTCGGGAGGATAAACCAAACATTCACTGTTTTAACAATTTCTTTTGTAATGCCTTCACTTTTGACCAGTCTGCAGAAAAGCTGGACATTCAATGCTCACATATATTCGGTTAGTCACGCACTTCGTTGGGACCTAATAACGATACTTCACTATACAAATTGTGGGCTAAAAGGATGAGCTAGTGCAGGCAAAGCATCCTAAATGGGAATATGCAATGGGTGTTAGTATTATTGCCATTTTTAGTCAAAGTAAAAATGATAATCATATGACTACGGTATTTCATGGAAGAAGTAATCAAGCTTTTGGTAATTCAGGTAATTCGATTTAAAGGTATTGGAAAGTTCAGGAAACCTCTGCCATAGAAGATAATTATGTGAGAGAGGATTGCGGAACTCTTTGCCATTATATAGGATAGGATTTACATATTTATCCCGGGGGAGAGGAAAGCCGATAAGACGACTTAACCATATGGCGAACCACGGTCTCTCGTCCTGTTACCATTCCAAGTCGGGTATGGGATTAGTTTTAGTTATTTGTTTTTCGGAAGCATGGACTTGATGGTGGAGGAAGCCGTAACCGACCAGCGATTACGTGAACCACCCAACGGCGGCGAGGAGTCCAGCAATCCTCTCGCACATAACTATCCTCGCATGGGATTCGAACCTGCGAACCCACGCAGAGTAATCAGAGGTGCGGTATTCCTAACGCTTAGCACGATGAGCCACACCGCCGCATATTCATGTACCCGATGGTCCCCACTTCCCACGACTAACCATTAACCCATGTTTCCCTCTTCCAGGGATAAATATAAAAATCCAAAAATATCTGAAACATTTTAGATCTCATATGTTACACAATACTTGCATCATATTTTTACTGAGGTGTTCCTAAATTTCATTCATAGGAAGATCCAGGGATATGAAATTTGATAAGATGGCTTAATCATAGGAGAATTACAGCCTTTTAGGGTGTTACTATTCCAGAGGGTGCATATAAAAGCTTTATTGTTGCAGGTGCATGGGTTTTTCGGCTCGGTTGCTTTTCTATACTTAAACTTTCACAGCTCAATTTTTCTCACCTGACTTGAATTCATTTCTGCACTGTTCACTGTAGACGAGTACGTGGGCGTCTCAATCCCACATCACGAGACAAAGGCTGGTTCGAGTCTTTTGGCGGGAACCGTACTATATGCCCCCATCATGCTAAACTTTTATTCACATTTCAAGGCATTTAGCATTTACAAATATGTGACCTCATCAAAATATATGATCGAATTTTTTTATTTTTTGTTATAGGGGGGGAGAGGGAAGCTGATAAGACGGCTTAATCATGTGTGTACCAGTCATGAATGATGTCACTTACATATACAGTTATAATAGTAATGGGATAGGATTTCATATTTATTTTATGGGAGAAGAAAGAGATGTTGCAATAATATGGCAGGCCACATTCTCTCATCCTGTTACCAGCCGAAGGTTGGCAATATAAGAATAGCTTGCTTTATTGTTCCATGTGCATGGGTTTTTCGGCTTAGTCGCCTTTCTATACCTAAAGCTATATTTCTAAAATATCCAATTTTTTGATTTTTTGTTACTTGATATTTTGAATTCATTTCTGCACAGTTCATTGTGGATATAAGTTTTGTGTAGAAAAAAGTGGTAACCCAATATTACGAGACAAAGGCTGGTTCGAGTCCTTTGGCGGGAACCGTACTATATGCCCCCATCAAGCTAAACTTTTATTCACATTTCAAGTCATTTACAAAAACGTGATCTCGTCAAAATATATATTAGTAATTTTGTATTTTTCATGGGGGGAGAAGGAAGCTGATAAAACGGCTTAATCCTGGTTATACCGGTCTTAATGACGCCACTGGCATATGCAGTTATAATAGTGTATGGAATAGGATTTTATATTTATAATATAGTAAAAGAAAGCTGATGAGATGGCTCAATAATAGGGCAGGACACATAATCACATCCTGTTACTAGTGGCTTATATGAAATAGCTTGCTTTATTGTTGCAAGTGCACAGGTTTTTCGGTCGGTCGCTTTTCTGTACATAAACCTCAACAGCTGTATTTCCAAAATATCACAGTTTGCCAAGATTCAAGATTTTCTTACCTGACTTGTTGAATTCATTTTCGCATGGTTCATTGTAGTAAAAAATCTTTCGCCGCAAAAGGTTGTAACCAATATCACGCGACAAAGGCTGGTTTGAGTCTTTGTACGGGAATCGTACTATTTGCTTGCCTCATTGTAAAACTTTATTCATATATCAATACAATTCACAAAAAGATGACTCCATCAAAATTCATAATTGAATTTTTGTATTTTTCATGGGGAGAGAGGAAAGCTGATAAGACGGCTTAATCATGTGTGTACCAGTCTTGAATGACTTCACTAACATAATACAGTTATAATAGTGATTGAATAGGATTTTTACATTTATAATATGATAAAAGAAAGCTGATGAGATGGCTCAATAACATGGCAGGCCACATTATCTCATCCTGTTACCAGTAGGGCTGGGCATTTCGAATCGAATATTCGAATCGAATAGTAAATTATTCGAATCGGTTAAAAGCAAATTTTTGAATCGCCGCCATCTTGTTTTACCCTTTTCGCCAATGGTCGAGGTAAATTTCTCAATTTTTTTTTCATTGAAAACATATTTTTCCAACACAATTCTGACATATGACTCTTTTCTGTATTGAGGTATTGATGAAAACTTTTTCTTTTATTGTCAGTGATGTATTCTATGTTTTCAGTAATTTATGTGTCTGGAGGACCTATAATGATAAGAAAGTTACATACATTATCCTACCTTCCAAGTATTCGAGATTCGAATCGATTCGAAAAAATTATTCGATTCGATTCTGAAATCATCAGGTATTCGAAAATGCCCAGCCCTAGATACCAGCCGAAGGCCGGAAATATAAAATAGCTTGCTGTATTGTTCCAGGTGCATGGGTTTTTCGGTCTGCTGCTTTTCTATACCTAAACCTCTAAAGCTATATTTTCAAAATATCGCAGTTTGCCAATTCTTAATTTTTCCTTACCCGACTTGTTAAAAACATTTCTGCACGGTTCATTGTAAACAAAAGCTTTGTGTCGCAAATGGTCCGTAACCCAATATCACAAGACAAAGGCTGATTCAAGTTTTTTGGCGGGAATCATACTATTTGCTTGTGTCATGATAAACTGATATTCACATAACAATACAATTCACGAAAATGTGACCCCATCAAAGTATATGATTGTATGATGGCTCAATAATATGGCAGGCCAAATTCTCTCATCCTGTTACCTGCCGAAGGCAGGGAATATAAAATACCTTGCTTTATTGTTCCAGGTGCATGGGTTTTCCGGTCTGATGCTCTTCTATACCTAAACCTCTAAAGCTATATTTTTAGAATATCGCAGTTTGCCAATTTTTGGTATTTTCTTACTTGATTTGTTGAAATCATTTCTGCACGGTTCATTGTAGTAAAAAACTTTGCGTCGCAAAAGGTCTAAACCCGCTATCACGAGACAAAGGCTGATTTGAGTCGATTGGCGGGAATGTATTATTTGCTTTATATGCTAAGTTTTTATACATAATTTGAAAATAAACAATGAAATATCCTACATTGTCTGAAATTCAAAAGTTTTTATCCACAGTAGCTGTTTTTTCATAGATTTTTTACACCTTTCGGTCGAATGAGGCTCTCTTCAAGTCATCACTGGTATAAGTAGATATTATGAGTATAGGGTGGGATAAAACTTCATAATTGAATGCCACAGGGCTTCCCAAACTGGGGGTCGCGACCTTGCAGGAGTGCGCAATTTTAGGGGTCGCAAAGATTACACCAATTTGACAAAGTACAATATCAAGTATACTCATTTAGACTTTTGATTCGAAACACAATTGTTTAAACCGATGCAAAAATTAAATCTCACGATTTTAAAAGAAATCAATGGGATCAAAGAAGAGGCGCACATTGCATAACAATGCCCACTTTAATCGCAAGACCCGAGAAGCGTTGTGCTTGCATAACAATGCCCACTTTGATCGTAAGACCCGAGAAGCGCTGTGCTTGCATAAATATGCCTGCTTTGATTGTAAGACACAAGAAATTAAATGTAAACATGGGTAGCAAGAAGTTTTAATATATTAAAAGGGGTCGTGAGTAGTGTTCCCTATTTGCGCACTTTTTTTGAAAACAAACTGGACAAAAGTACATGGTTTGGTATATGACTAACCCATGTTTTCCTCTTCCCGGGATAAATATAAAAATCTAAAAATATTTGAAACATTTTAGATCTTATATGTTACACAATACTTGCATCATATTTTCCCACAAATATTCCTCGTGTGACGAGTAAAATTTTTGATTACGTCAATATCAACATTTATTAACTGAGGTGTTCCTAAATTTCAATCATATGAAGATCTAGGGATATGAATTTGATGGGATGGCTTAATCATAGGAGAATTACGGCCTTTTAGGGTGTTACTATTCCAGAGGGTGCATATAAAAGCTTTATTGTTGCAGGTGCGTGGGTTTTTCGGCTTGATTGCTTTTCTATACTTAAACCTTCACAGCTCAATTTTTCTCACCTGACTTGAATTCATTTCTGCACGGTTCACTGTAGACGAGTATGTTGGCGTCTCAATCCCACATCACGAGACATAGGCTGGTTCGAGTCTTTTGGCGGGAACCGTACTATATGCCCCCATCATGCTAAACTTTTATTCACATTTCAAGGCATTTAGCATTTACAAATATGTGACCCCATCAAAATACATGATCGAATTTTTTTATTTTTTGTTATAGGGGGGAGAGGGAAGCTGATAAGACGGCTTAATCATGTGTACACCAGTCTTGAATGATGTCTCTCACATATACAGTTATAATAGTAATGGGATAGGATTTTATATTTATATTACGGGAGAAGAAAGAGATGTTGCAATAATATGGCAGGCCACATTCTCTCATCCTGTTACCAGCCGAAGGTTGGCAATATAAGAATAGCTTGCTTTATTGTTCCATGTGCACGGGTTTTTCGGCTTGTTCGCCTTTCTATACCTAAAGCTATATTTCCAAAATATCCAATTTTTTGATTTTTTGTTACTTGATATTTTAAATTCATTTCTGCACAGTTCATTGTGGATATAAGTTTTGTGTAGAAAAAAGTGGTAACCCAATATTACGAGACAAAGGCTGGTTCGAGTCCTTTGGCGGGAACCGTACTATATGCCCCCATCAGGCTAAACTTTTATTCACATTTCAAGTCATTTACAAAAACGTGATCTCGTCAAAATATATATTAGTAATTTTGTATTTTTCATGGGGGGAGAAGGAAGCTGATAAAACGGCTTAATCCTGGTTATACCGGTCTTAATGACGCCACTGGCATATGCAGTTATAATAGTGTATGGAATAGGATTTTATATTTATAATATAGTAAAAGAAAGCTGATGAGATGGCTCAATAATAGGGCAGGACACATAATCACATCCTGTTACTAGTGGCTTATATGAAATAGCTTGCGTTATTGTTGCAAGTGCACAGGTTTTTCGGTCGGTCGCTTTTCTGTACATAAACCTCAACAGCTGTATTTCCAAAATATCACAGTTTGCCAAGATTCAAGATTTTCTTACCTGACTTGTTGAATTCATTTTCGCATGGTTCATTGTAGTAAAAAATCTTTCGCCGCAAAAGGTTGTAACCAATATCACGCGACAAAGGCTGGTTTGAGTCTTTGTACGGGAATCGTACTATTTGCTTGCCTCATTGTAAAACTTCATTCATATATCAATACAATTCACAAAAAGATGACTCCATCAAAATACATAATTGAATTTTTGTATTTTTCATGGGGAGAGAGGAAAGCTGATAAGACGGCTTAATCATGTGTGTACCAGTCTTGAATGACGTCACTAACATAATACAGTTATAATAGTGATGGAATAGGATTTTTATATTTATAATATGGTAAAAGAAAGCTGATGAGATGGCTCAATAACATGGCAGGCCACATTATCTCATCCTGTTACCAGCCGAAGGCCCGGAATATAAAATAGCTTGCTGTATTGGTCCAGGTGCATGGGTTTTTCCGTCTGCTGCATTTCTATACCTAAACCTCTAAAGCTATATTTTAAAATATCGCAGTTTGCCAATTCTTGATTTTTCCTTACCCGACTTGTTAAAAACATTTCTGCACAGTTCATTGTAGACAAAAGCTTCGTGTCGCAAATGGTCCGTAAGCCAATATCACAAGACAAAGGCTGGTTCAAGTTTTTTGGCGGGAATCATACCATTGGCTTGTGTCATGATAAACTTTTATTCACATAACAATACAATTCACGAAAATGTGACCCCATCAAAATATATGATTGTATTTTTATAGGGGAGAGGGAAGCTGATAAAACGGCTCAATCATGTGCGTACCAGTCTTGAATAAGGTCACTTACATATACAGTTTAATAGTAATGGGATAGGATGTTATATTTATATTATGGGAAAATAAAGATGATGAGATGGCTCACTAATATGGCAGGCCACATTCTCTCATCCTGTTACCAGCCGAAGGTTGAAATATAACAATAGCTAGCTTTATTGTCCCAAATGCATGGGTTTCTAGGCTTGGATGTTTTCCTATACTTACCGTAAACCTCTAAAGCTATATTTCCAAAACAACGCAGTTTGCCAATTTTTTGATATTTTTTTACCTGACTTGTTGAATTCATTTCTGCATGGTTCATTGCAAAGCCCATATATACCTAAGTTGCGCAACAATGGAAATTGGCCGCCATTTTCGATCAACGTCGCCTGCGGGATTACGGCGGTTCTGCGTGATCTTCGGCTAGGCTGGTGCCGTCTGCTATAAAATTATAGGCTGCTCCCCTGCTCGGCGTCTAATTGCAGCTGGAATAGCAAGCAGTGCAACTATTGAAGCTATCAGCTGATGCCGAGAGTAGAAACAAATGGGAAAATATTTGTAAAGGCTGGAAATCCGGCCCAGGCAGTTCCTTGTGTGAGGTTAGTCAAACGAATGGCCTAATGTCAAACTGACACCAGACAGGCTAGTAATCTGCAGGCTGTATATAGTTTTAGGACGATGTCACATTTAATTATTTATATCACGCTGCCGATCCGACTCAATAAAGTTAGCCCAGAAAAGTTACCGGTAACTAAAGTAAAGTTGAACTACTAAGATTTTCTAAACGCTGGCTTCAGGTGTCAGATTAGGAAAACTGTATTTAAATCATCCTAAGTAATGCAAAGTCAGAAATCAGTGCATTGAATGTACAAGATTCACTGTCATGATTGCTTGGAATCCTGCGTTCACAACTGATCATGGTAATTAACAGCAATATGAATAGACAAATCAGAGCTTAGTGGAAATAATGCTCTTCTGAATTTCAGAACTGAATGCGTGCACTGTCAATTATATTTTGTGGTAAAAATGGGATGCTGAATGCTTGCTATTTGAAAAGTACGTTGATTTTATAACCTACAACTCCTTCCATTTTCAGACTCATTTTTGAAAAATATTAATTTGAACCGAAGAAGACGGATAAATGGAAATAAATAAAATGGGATATAGACAATATTGGATGAGCCAAATTCACCAAAAAATTCAAATCATCAAAACCTGAATTAGCTAAAACATTGACTGAGATGAAATTTCAAAAAAAAAAAAATAATGAATGTGATAATGATGAATCATTTCACCTACGTTTTAGGTTTGATCAAAACATCCTACTCCAGGTGCCACCAGAACAAACCAGTTGTGTCAGAATTGGGTCATAAACAGCACAAGAGTGTGGGACTGCTGCTTAAGCCTCAAGAATGACTTCAGAAGTACTATGGCTTCTGTTTATGCATATGATGTATTGAAGACTGTAGAGGACGCAATTTGATGGTTGCTACTTTGCGCACAGTGAGTGGACTGTTGCATGTGTCCAGAACCACATTACACTGTGTAACACACATTTTGTTACTGGCTCCTGATTATTATTTTCTGATGAACAGTTACACATCAAAACTGAGGAAAAATGGATTTTGATTTTTTGGAAATTTGGGGGAGTATTTCACCCAAATCGTTTTTTTTTTGGGGGGGGGGGATAAGACAACATAAAACTTTCATTATAACACAGGGGTGCTATTTTTTTTTGTTTTCAAATATCCAAATTATTACAAACCTTTTATAAATAACTTTCTAGCGATTAAAGGACTTAAAATTGAACATAAAAACACAGATTATTTGTTAAAGTAAATTTCACGAATAGGCACTCGTATGTAGTCACCATCGCTTGACTGACATAGGCAGTCCCGATCTCATGATGGAACTAACATAAGGAAAGTCGGAATAACAATTGGGCAATTTCAATTAATGTACCTTTTTCGTGTCTTCGTTATTTAATTGTTGAAATTTCTATTGTTGGTTCATCGAATAGCACTTCTTTTCCATGTCTTTTATATTTAGTTATTTACATGCTATTGTTGATCAATTAAATGTTTTTTTTCTCATATCTTTGTTATTTGATAAGTATCATTTCTATTTTTGGTCAATTGAATTATTTCCAAATTGCTCTGAACTATCAGTTTGTTTGCAATGGTTTCATGAATCATACTGTAACACCAAAGATTTAAATAAAAGTGTTCATAATTTCTATGATGATCATTGCTTGCTTCGTTTTGTAAACACGATTCCTAAGATGTGAATTGTTAAAATTTTCCTATTGATTTGACGCTCTTGTGTGGGTCAGAAACGTTTTCAAAACCCATATGCTAAAACTTCTTGATAAGTATACTTTAAGTTAAGTTTTAACATTTTTAGAGTGCAAGTTTGTAAAAATCCCAAAAAATATATAATAAGGTTCATGCAATTTTGAAACATTTTCAGATTATAACAAATATATGAATCAAAATCATCTTTCCCTATCCAGTGTGTTACTTTTATTCAATACTGTGTATGTATCACTGAGTTGCACTTATTTATTTTTCACGTTCAGACACATTCTCATCACATTGAAAACTTGTAGCTGATCCACTGTGTATGCTGCCAATTTATTCATTTTTTTCTAACTATTATCGTCCAAACCCCATTGAATTTAGTTTTCAGTTAAATATAAATTTCCATCACATTATTCTGGCCGCGTCAGATTGTTTTATTTAACGAATGCAATACCCGGACACCCCCCCCCCCCTTTTTTTTTCAAAACACACACATGCTTAACATTAATTTTATCTAAGAATCCCCCCATTTTGTTCAGAAGTTTATTGTAAAAATATTATCGTAATTGTTTTTGCCACTGGTCATCTCTCAGTGATAATCTTAATCACATCAGCGTATATGGTGAGGGCTGACTTCGATGGTCGTATCGCTCCCTCCTGTTCATACCAAAACAATTTTATTTGCTTTCGCTATTTTATTGATGACTGTATTTTTTGGTTTGACAAAGTAATCTCTCTTTCGTTGTATTGCCATTAGTAAGGACGTTTTCAATTATGCAGCGATAGCGTCTGAAAAGGGCAAATTTCTATTGTAACATTGCCAACAACATTTAGCTCGTTTTAGTCATTTAGGCCTGTTGTGGTTTGAAACACCCCAAACGTGGGACCCCAAATGGCGAAATAAGGTATTTCGAATGTGACAGAAGCCAAAAATAGCCCAAGCTATTTTAGAACGCCCTGGTTGTCAGTAAAATCCGGGACGACCGTGGCCCGCGGCGCCAAACGTCAATTCCGGGACTGTCACGGCCCTTCTGGAGATGGTCGATAGCCCTAGCATCAGCAGGTCTTGAATAATTTTAGATTTTGCCTACTTCCCCGATCTTCCGTAGGCTATATGTGTGTGTGTGTGTTGACTTGCAATGCCTATTTGTTTTAGTGTTATGGAAAAATCAAAATAAACTTTACCAACCGTGCGTTGCGTCTATATTTTGTTTGTTACCGAGCGGCGTGGGTTGTGAATGTAAGTGCCCCGTATTGGGTTCGATACTGAATGGGACGCTTTATCAGATTTCTGCGCTTTCGAAATATAACTACTCATTTAAATCTGCCCCAATGGCCTTTTAAAACTACTAAAATTAGGCTTGTTTGGGTTACACTACTCGATCCGAATGATCGAAAATGGCTTCCATATGACGTAATAATGGAACAAGTTAGTTGCACAGGGTTGGTTCATTGTAGACAAAAGCTTTATGTCGCAAAATATCGGAACCCAATATCACCAGACAAGCGCTGGTTTGAGTCATTTGGGGAGAATGTATTGTTTGCTTACGTCATGCCAAGTTTTATACGCATTTTGTCTCGGTTCAAAATAAACAAAGAAATTTACTCTATCATAACTTCATAAGAGATCCAAAATTGTGGTTGTATACACTCTAGGTTTTTGTATTTTTCCATGGGTTGGTTTGAATCTATGTCTTGAGTGTAGAGCCACTGGTATATGGACATATAATAATAATAATAGGATCATATTGTTTTATGTTTATATTGTGTGAAAAGAAAGTTGGTGATATGGCCTAATAATATGGCAGGCCACATTCTTTTATCCTGTTACCAGCCAAAGGTCTTTAATATAAAATATCTATTTTTATTGTTCCAGGTGCATGCGTCTTTCGGCTAACCGATTTTCTATGCTTAAACCTCGAAAGCTATATTTCCAAAACATCACAGTTTGCCATATTTTGATATTTTTTTATTTGATTTGTTGAATTCATTCTTGCATGGTTCATTGTAGATGGGAGCTTCAAGTTGCAAAAGGTCGTAACCCAATATCATGAAACAAAGGCTGGTTTGAGTCTTTTGGAGGGATTCGTACTACTTGCTTGTGTCATGCTTAAATTTTATTCACATTTTAATACAATTTACAAAAAGATGCTTGCATAACAATGCCGGCTTTGATCGTAAGACACAAGAAGTAAAACGTAAACAGGGTTAACAAAAAATTGAAATATATTGAAAAAGAGTCGCAAGCAGTGTTCAATATTAGCTCACTTTTTTGCGAAAACTGCGAGACACCTTTGCAGTAATTTTTGGAAACTGTGAAATCGCCATTTTTTGTTTTTTCTTATTTAAATTGGCCAAGACACCTTCGCACCTTTTTTTCAACTACGAAGCACCTTCACACTCATAATGTCCATAGTGTGAACACTGGATGTGACTCGTGAGTAGGGCTGTCCAAAATCGAATAGTTTTTTTATTCAAATCGAATATTTTTGCCGAATCAAACCAAATAATCGAATATTATTGCGCAATCCTAAATCTGTCTCTATTATACAATAAACGCCTGCCCTTCGATGTTGTGGTGACGTATGTGCAGTTACATCTTACTTACTGCTGGTATTTTGCAATACAATGTTTTCAGATTTATGAAAGAAGTCACACGCTTGTATGAACTGGTCAAAAAAATTGAAGGACTCCAAAATTTGGGTCTCGAAAACTGTTGAGTGTTAAGAGTAAAAATTGCACAATTCAAAAATTGCAATCTTAATTCTAATGGATTAAGTTTTAATAGGACATGTAAAGCCTGTAGATGCTATTTTAATCCTATTCACTAGGGCAATTTCAGCAAAATAATAACAACCATTAATATAGATAAAATTGTTGCTCAAATTCAAAATTGCATTTAACAAATTCGAAGCTAGTTTGATGACTATAATATTGTTAGTGTAAAACAGCCATCAAAATTCAAGAGAGCAATTATTTGTCTTGGTATATAGATGGATAATATAGTATTGCCGTCATAAGAAATTACAAATTCCATTGAAAGAAGGTATTGCCATAATAAGGATCCCAAAACACCTGTTTCAACTTTGAGTTGCCTGTACCAAGTTCCTATGATAACTAACTTAACAGCTTCAAATCGATTCTATTTATAGAACTATCATTTTCTAAATTGCCTTTTTCTCCTTGTTCTCTCTCAAAAACGTCATTACCGATAACTTTTAAGTTATGATGACCATGCATGAAATGGCTAATCACGTGTCACCGGGCAGGCATTAGGAATGACATGTTTATCACAAAATTAAGGCGAGAGAAATATCAGGAAACCAATTAAGCCAGGAACGAGAGTGGTCTAAACTCGAAGCGCTTGCCCGAGAAAAGACTTCCTGCAAAGGTGGTTTCCTCTTTATGTACTTAATCTTAGCGATTCGAAAATTAGCCGAAAAACGATTCGAATAATTTGCGATTCGGTTTGATTTCGAATATTTGGTTCGCTTGGACAGCCCTACTCGTGAGCCCACAAGTTTTGGCAGTCACATCTTGAATCTTCATTGAAATGTCTATTTATAGTTTTGTATACTAAACACTCTCTGTCAACTCAAGTTCAATTCTACTCTCACCACCCTACCCAAGATGTAATAAATTGGGCGATTCAGAAGTGTGTGTACCGATATGGAGGTACCGGTACTTAATTTTGTTCGCCTACTTAACATCAAGTTTTGTAAAGGGACTCTGAAACCTATGGGCAGGGGGTATATTCACTTGACTGACACAGACAGTCCCCAAACTCGTAACAGAACTAAAATCGAATAAAACTATGGCCTGATTCTAACCTGGTACACATTCTACGGGAATACCCTAATTTGGATAGGCAGGGACAAACTAGAAAAATTCCGGTCTTTCCAAAAATATCATCTTCTTATGTTACTTTACCAAAGCCTTGTCTCGAGTGAGACTTAGAAACCCTTTGTAGGATTCAGTCATATTCATAAAACTCCAAGTCATTTTCATTCAAAACATAACAAACCTTCAATGCGATATTGTTGAGAGATTTAGGCTATGTGCTCCTTAAATATCAGTGGCAGCTTGTGAAAATTGGAACTTGAAAAACCCAAGCCTAGTCAATGGCTTCTTGTACATAGCCTTGTTCAGTGTAAAAATGCTTCATAAATACTTGTGTTCTGCGCCGTTGCTATATTTATAGGAGTAAGTACATCAAAGTTTTCTTAACCAGGGCCCAAAGGAGCAGTTAAAGGGGAGCCACCATGCTTGGCGCAAAATTGCTTGGTACTCCTGGAGTATGTGAACCAAGATGCCGCACACCGGAACGTAGTATGTGTACCAGGTTGGGGTTAGGCCATACTTTTACTCCAATTGTCCCTATTTTAGTTTTATTACGAGTTAGAGGACCAGCCAAGGGACTCCTGTGTTATTTGTACCCGAAATTATGGCTTAACGCTAATATGGTACACCTACTATGTTCCGGTGTCCGCCATCTTGGTTCATATACTTCAGGAGTACCAATTGATTTAACTTTTCCTTTTATACTTGCAAGAAAACTCCTTGTTCTTCCTAGTTTCATTACTTGATAAGGTTATTGAGTATTTTCACGTTGTTGTTCATTATTGTTTAAACTTAATGGGATTTGGAATCTGCCAATCAAAATAAACGATATAAACATCACTGGAATGATAACCAGAGGGGGCCACGATCCATAAAATGTTGGGAACCACTGCTCTGAGTAAATTTCTTCAAAAACGTATTCTGCATTAGCAAATTTAATTTGTTTGATTTTGTTAAGGGTTCTGTTGAAGAGCTTAGAATATATTCGATATTCCACATTCAAAAATACAATATTACGTATTTAGGACCGTGGTTCACCATATGATTAAGCCATCTTATCTACTTTCTCATGGGTTAAATATAAAATTCCTAATATAATTAGGATACCATATTTTTTCAAATATGTTGGTGTGTTGATCAAAATCTTTAGTAAGGCATCACTTGCTGTTTTGAAGTCATCCATGCCTAGTTTATCATCAATAAAAACTATATCACGGTAGCTTGCTAACCCGATTACCGATGCCTTTGGTAAAGTGGTAGGCGTGGGAATTGACTACAACTTTGATATGTATGAATGAATACTAGTGCAGCCTTGTAAATGTGTGTCTCTGTCAGACCGGGCTGTAACTTGGTTCGCAACTTATTTTCCTGATTTGTCATTTTAACAGCCCATGGTAGTTTTCGCGAAAACCTGATATTAGACTTTAATTTCTACTGGTCTTCGTCTACCCCTTATTCCAACATCTAGTAAATGAAGATTCTTGATTAGTTATTTATTGCTACGTTATAATTATTGTCACACATAGTAATACACTCACTACACTCTTATGGTTTAAATCAAATATTATTATTGTAACCAAACTTTAAGGCACAGGACTATGTACATAAGTATGTGCTTGTAATGCTAGGTTGATCCACTAGTCATAATGATAAAGACTTATAAATATAGAATTATGGAAAAAAATATTCAGTCAAATTTTTATTTTGTCATATACTAATTAAAAATCCTATTACTGCTCTAGAGAGTTTCTATTTTCTTGACATTATTGGATTAATCTTTTTCTTTTTTTTGCCCTCAGCCTTGGACTACTCAGCTCTAATCAGGCCAACAGAGAGAAGGGGATCAACCAAGTAGAAACGTTTAGTGAGACTCGACTTGTAGATGCTCATTGCCTTGCAATCCTTCATGTTTATTTCACCTCTCATGTTCATCATTTCAAGATTGACATCTGTGAGCATATCTGTGACATGCTCATATCGGTATAATCGTGTAAAGACACGAGAAATGGACTGAATAAACCAAGATCCTTTCTCATCTTTATATGCCCTTTCGTTTACTTGCGTAGGATAAGCTGTGACGACATCACTTTTTGTGGGTATCAGTGAATCAATTGGAATTTGATCAAGAATTGGGAGAGCGTCACTAGTAACATCACTTTGCTTGTACACACCGTGATCTTTTTTTCCTCCTCTGCAGTATTGAAGGATAAAAAGCTTGGGTATATCTTGTAAGTTATGAGTAGCGTAATTGTCATAAAATGACTCTATTTCTTTTGCTTTGATAGCTGTCCCGTCATTTCCCAACAAAACTTCTTCTGAACTTCTAGGGTTTTCGTTAACTGATGTTTCATCTTGATTTTTCTCGATTTCTTGAGGGATCATCCCTCCATGCGTGCTTATCACCACCACCACGTAATCATACCCTTGTGAGTTACCAAGCTTCCTGAGTAGATCTCTCATCTCAGCTGCACTTTTGTCTGTGTAAGACATCCCTCCAAGCAGTGTGCATCCTATAGTATCTCTCCACAGTTTTTCCATACTTTCCACATCTCTTTGGCAAGTGGATGTTCTATGAAGTTCTTTTTTTTGATGTACAGTAAACGAATTGCCTATGATCAGAATGATTCCTTTTTTTGCTGTGAGTTTATACCTCTCAGTGTATCTTACATACGCAAGATCATCAGCTGATTGTTCCCTTTGTGTTCCACTTGTTGCCTCTTCATGCTCACCACAATAGTATTCATGCTTTAAGGTAATTAATCGTTTCATTAGGTTTCCACTGCTCTCATTTGGATTTAGCCAAGCCATAACCGTCTTGAATTTACGTTCATGGTAATCATCTCCCCATCTATTTTCTAGATCAGTGATCTTATTCTCATCAAGGCCGAGTTTCAATCTAGTGAATTCTCTCCATTGTCCTTCACTAAATTTTTCTGTTACTTTATAGATGTCGCCTTTTTCCATTATTTTCTTAGTTGAATACTACAGATGTTAATTCACTGAAAACTATGAATATGATTCAATAGTAATTTTACGAATTCCATTCAGTTATTTGCCTTTTAAATTATTATTTTCAAACAAGCATTACAAACTAATTCACATATACAAATATATTCAAAATTAGGTAATCCTAATAAAGAAATAATTATAAATGTTTTCATCGAAACTTTATGGTCTAAGTATTTGAAACAGGATAGTCAGACTTAGTCAAAAGAATTTCATTCAATTTTTGAAAACTGTGAAATCTATTGATACAATGCTTATCTCCTTCGAAAACAAAAGAGAGAAAGTTCGATTGAAACGAAGGCTAAAACAAATCATGAGATTAGTTGCTTTTCCGTACTCAAACCCATCAAAGGTGTCTTGCTACCTTATTACAACTTGGTGACCTATCTTAATCTGACTTGTTGAATTCTCTTTCCAGTGTAACCAAGGACAAAAAGGACGCTTATAATGTTTCCCTTTTGTATTCATCCCTCATTCTCAACTGTAGACAAAAGCCATGTCGCGTCAGGTTGAATTCTGATATCACAGGATAAACCCCTTTATTTACATTTTGTCTCGGTTTACGAAAACAAAAAAAATAAACGTTTATAATATTTGAAATTCGAAAATTTGCTGTTTGTATTTCACAGTGTTTTTTTTGTGCGTGTTGGTTTGAACTTTGTTTCAATAGGGCCTTGGGCAAGCAGTCACTGATATATTGTGGTATAGCTATAGAGTGAGTTATAGACCCATAACATTAACATGATTTAACGACCAAAACCCCCTATTTAGATAATTAACGGATTTAAACGTCGCAAAAGATATTCCATAATACTAAACTTTTTGATGGCCTACTAAATTGAATCATTTTTATTTCCTAAATATGTTAAATTTTGTTGTAGAATTTTAGGGGAAGGTTTAACTAAGTTTGATTATCCGTATAATTAAGATCATTTTCGATAATGAAAACAAAATTCCAGAATACGAAAAACTAATTGAATAACCTAATACTACATAATATATTTCGGAAAATGTCAAATTATTTTGTGAAATTCATCGTCAGTTTTTTGTTTTTAGTCAACTCTTTGTCTCTTTTGCTCAGAGCAAGGCTTCGTACAAGTAACTTTCTGTTTTAGCATTGCCTACTCAATTTTTTACACCATTGTGATTTTCAATATGGGGTGACAACATAACTAAATCCTGTGCTTTAATTAATAACCGTTAGCTCATTGCTCCCATACCTTCTCTCAGAACTGACTGTGCTCAACCAACCACTGAGTATAAAAGTGGCTGCTATTTTTTATTTCTTCTGATTCAGCCTACCCAATGTATTACAATGTGGGTAAGGTGTAACCATGAGAATATTTTATATACTAATTCAATCAAGGGTTAAATTTATTTATAGAAATTTAATCCCCATGACCAACCGTCGTGGAAACCGCCATTTCAAGGCCTTTTCTCTTTATTTTAACCCCTTTTTTATCACAAACAACACACACTTCCGCTTTCTACCCTTTTAAACGCAATGATTCTACATGTAATATTGTTAAAAACTACTTGAACAGGCACGTAACCCAAAAAAGACAGTTACAATGTGATTTGGAAAATATTCGAGAGGGAACATAACTTATGTATAAAGCATCCCAGATTACTGAAAATTTTGGGTGTTAAATTAGTTTTCTTTATTTTAATATTATGAGTACTTAAGCAATCTTTAGGCACTGTTTTAGGGAATATTTTATATATGGGGTGCATGTCGCACATTTGTGTTTTAGGCCAGTATGGTCTTGTGCATGCGTCCCGTCTCCAATATTAATATTGTCAATTTTTTATATTGCTTACTACTACGAGACTAATAAACATACATACATGGAGTCAAGGTTCCCAGTTATGGAGTTATCTTTTCCTAGGGGATATCTTATTGGATAGGTAATTCTTTTCTGTATATATACTGTTTGTATCATTACTAATATTCTTTACCTATTCAGTATTCATTGTAACAATATAAACTAATCAAACCTCGAAAAAGTGAGAGTGCATGTTATGTGTATATATTGTGGTATTACTTATATTCTGTGCTTTTAAGTCTTATCATAATTCATATTTATGCACACATTACAAACTATTCAAAATGAACAGAAGCAAGAGTGCAAATTACGTGTATTTATTGTGGTATTACCAATATTCCTTATTTTTCAGGTATTTTTGTAATAAATATTTATTTATACAGCATGGACTATTCGAACTGTATGAAAGCCAAAGTGTGAGTCGCAAATATTGCTACATTAAACAACAAACAAATTTCAATGCACAATGTGGGGAAATGAAGAGTTTCAAAAAGGACAAAGGAAAGATTATACAAATATATATATAAAAAGGTGGGTAAATATTGACATATAACAGTGGTTATAGGGTTTCAGCAATCATAGGCTTAGCCAGAGCGTTGTGTGGGATCATCCAACTAAAAAAAAATTTTTTTGAATATAATTTTGTGGGATATGTCAGTAAGACATATATTCATATGCCTTATCCAACACCATTTTATTCTTGCGTGATTTACTGAAAACTGGATGTTTCCTGAATTGCTTTCAATCGAACGATTGTGAATTATATACTTGTTTGGTTATAATATAATTCAGTCTGAAGAATATATTCGTCAAAACTGGTGTTTTGATACTCATAATCTAGTGAAGTGTCGCGGGCCGTATATATTACTCCACAGGTCGGATCCGGCCTGCGGGCCGTAGGTTGCCGACCCCTGGCTTAGGCCATAATTTCTGGTATAAACACTACGGGAAAATTGGAACTTGAAAAACCCAAGCCTAATCAATGGCTTCTTGTACATAGCCTTGTTCAGTGTAAAAATGCTTCATAAATACTTGTGTTCTGCGCCGTTGCTATATTTATAGGAGTAAGTACATCAAAGTTTTCTTAACCAGGGTCCAAAGGAGCAGTTAAAGGGGAGCCACCATGCTTGGCGCAAAATTGCTTGGTACTCCTGAAGTATGTGAACCAAGATGCCGCACACCGGAACGTAGTATGTGTACCAGGTTGGGGTTAGGCCATACTTTTATTCCAATTTTCCCTATTTGAGTTTTATTACGAGTTAGAGGACCAGCCAAGGGACTCCTGTGTTATTTGTACCCGAAATTATGGCTTAACGCTAATATGGTACACCTACTACGTTCCGGTGTCCGCCATCTTGGTTCACATACTTCAGGAATACCAATTGATTTTACTTTTCCTTTTATACTTGCAAGAAAACTCCTTGTTCTTCCTAGTTTCATTACTTGATAAGGTTATTAGACAGAGTATTTTCACGTTGTTGTTCATTATTGTTTAAACTTAATGGGATTTGGAATCTGCCAATCAAAATAAACGATATAAACATCACTGGAATGATAACCAGAGGGGGCCACGATCCATAAAATGTTGGGAACCACTGCTCTGAGTAAATTTCTTCAAAAACGTATTCTGCATTAGCAAATTTAATTTGTATGATTTTGTTAAGGGTTCTGTTGAAGAGCTTAGAATATATTCGATATTCCACATTCAAAAATACAATATTACGTATTTAGGACCGTGGTTCACCATATGATTAAGCCATCTTATCTACTTTCTCATGGGTTAAATATAAAATTCCTAATATAATTAGGATACCATATTTTTTCAAATATGTTGGTGTGTTGATCAAAATCTTTAGTAAGGCATCACTTGCTGTTTTGAAGTCATCCATGCCTAGTTTATCATCAATAAAAACTATATCACGGTAGCTTGCTAACCCAATTACCGATGCCTTTGGTAAAGTGGTAGGCGTGGGAATTGAATACAACTTTGAAATGTATGAATGAATACTAGTGCAGCCTTGTAAATGTGTGTCTCTGTCAGACCGGGCTGTAACTTGGTTCGCAACTTATTTTCCTGATTTGTCATTTTAACAGCCCATGGTAGTTTTCGCAAAAACCTGATATTAGACTTTAATTTCTACTGGTCTTCGTCTACCCCTTATTCCAACTTCTAGTAAATGAAGATTCTTGATTAGTTATTTATTGCTACGTTATAATTATTGTCACACATAGTAATACACTCACTACACTCTTATGGTTTAAATCAAATATTATTATTGTAACCAAACTTTAAGGCACAGGGCTATGTACATAAGTATGTGCTTGTAATGCTAGGTTGATCCACTAGTCATAATGATAAAGACTTATAAATATATAATTATGGAAAAAAATATTCAGTCAAATTTTTATTTTGTCATATACTAATTAAAAATCCTATTACTGCTCTAGAGAGTTTCTATTTTCTTGACAATATTGGATTAATGGCATCTTTTTCTTTTTTTTGCCCTCAGCCTTGGACTACTCAGCTCTAATCAGGCCAACAGAGAGAAGGGGATCAACCAAGTAGAAACGTTTAGTGAGACTCGACTCGTAGAAGCTCATTGCCTTGCAATCCTTCATGTCTATTTCACCTCTCATGTTCATCATTTCAAGATTGACATGTGTGAGCATATCTGTGACATGCTCATATCGGCATAATCGTGTAAAGACACGAGAAATGGACTGAATAAACCAAGATCCTTCCTCATCTTTATATGCCCTTTCGTTTACTTGCGTAGAATAAGCTGTGACGACATCACTTTTTGTGGGTATCAGTGAATCAATTGGAATTTGATCAAAAATTGGGACAGCGTCACCAGTAACATCACTTTGCTTGTACACACCGTGATCTATTTTTCCTCCTCTGCAGTATTGAAGGATAAAAAGCTTGGGTATATCTTGTAAGTTATGAGTAGCGTCATTCTTATAAAATGACTCTATTTCTTTTGCTTTGATAGCTGTCCCGTCATTTCCCAACAAAACTTCTTGTAAACTTCTAGGGTTTTCGTTAACTGATGTTTCATCTTGATTTTTCTCGATTTCTTGAGGGATCATCCCTCCATGCGTGCTTATCACCACCACCACGTAATCATA